CTCCTCTGCTCTAGTCACCCCGCTGGCACCCCTAAACTAATGACTACAATTACTTCATCTGTTTATATGCACCATGCATTTGGCTACATCTAATATAATGTGGACTCATCCATCAGCATTTTACTGTGACTTCCTGCTTCTTTTTTTGGCTAAATGACAGACATAAAATGAAGAGAAAAAGGTGGAGGAAACTAACCTAAAAAGATTTTACTAAAATTAAATCTTTAAGAGCGACTTTTATTCCTACGATTCTACGACGGACCCAGAAAACGTTCTGTAAATCAATGTGTGGAGATGGAAGCCATAAGTTGGCAGAGATGTCCATTAAACACTAAAGGAAATACAGTTTTTTTACTTATAATCTTTTTATACAATAAATAAAATGTCACTTGCATTTAATATGTGCAACAAACCACATGACTCACCTCTGCCGTTCATGCGAAAAATATGCAAAGCTATGGGCCAGGCCAACGATGTCATCAGCAGAACGCTTCCAAGGTGCAAATAAGGCGCCGTCACCTGATCAGGTTAAAAAACATCAACCATCAGTGGAAATCAGACGGGAAGCAGGACACGGCTGCTGGAGGAGAAGAGGAGGTGGTCACCTGGAAGGAGAGCAGCAGCGTTGTCCATTCTTCTCCCCACAGGTCAGACAAGACGGCAGTGGCTACGATGGAGAAGATCAGGCAGATCAGGATCCCAACCTGATCACAAACAGGTGGGGAGATGTTATAGATTTACACGTGATGGTGAAACCACAACTTGTTAACCGCAGCCTCCTATCTCACAAAGCTGAAGACTTGAGAGCACAGGTCGGAGGCATTTACAATCCGATAATTATCTCATACATTTAAATCAAAGAACAAAAGTATTATCCTATATAGACCTTAGAGCAGGGGTCTACCAACGTTTTCCAGGCCAAGGACCCCAAACTGATGGCGAGATGGAGCGGGGACCCCCTAATTATATATAGCATGAAATAGTGTTCTATCAAACTGCTCCTATAGTCAGTCTTTTACAGATGGAGTAATGTAATGAAAGTAATCTCTCCCTGGGATTATTAAAGTATTTCAGATTCCTGGTTGATGGGACAGGTGTTGTGAATGAAACGGTGCCCAGCTTGAAAGAGCTCCTGTGTGTCGCTGAATGTGAGCATTGATGACTGAAAGACATCTTCTGCCCCCATTTATCTGTTTACTACAGTCTGTTGGATTCATGTTAATGTGGATTTAAAGACATTTCAATTAGTGGGAAAAATTGCAGAGGGGAATATAAAAAAAAAAGTCTAACCAACCAAAGTTTTCCCCCATGCAGTACCTCCGTTGACCCCCTAGGGGTCGCAGACCCCTGTTGAAGACCTCCGCCTTAGAGCAAAGAAAAATGCCTATCTTTATTAATGAAACACTGCAATTTTACAGAAAGTATACATTCTTCTTAGTAGTCTGTAGATTAATGACAAAATAAACAGAACAGGGCTGCTCAGTGGCACAGTGGGTAGAACTGCTGCCTTGCAGCAAGAGGGTTCCAGGTTCAATTCCGGTCTTTCTGCATTGAGTTTGTATGTTCTCCCTGAGCATGCATGGGTTCTCTCCGGGTACTCCGGCTTCCTCCCACAGTCCAAAAACATGACTGTTAGGTTAACTGGCTTCTCTAAATTCTCCTTAGGTGAATGATTGCTTGTTGCTCTGTGATGGACTGGTGACCTGCCCAGGAAGGACCCTGCCTGCACCCCAGGCACCAAAACCCCTCGTGACCCAACTTGGGATTAAAAGTGTCCAAAAAAAAAATGGATGGATAAACAGAACTATGGAGGACCAATCCTGCCATAATTAAAAATAAATACAGAAATAAATAAATGCTCCAAAAATAAATAAGCATGCAATAATTGCCCTTCAAAAACACAATTAATAAATAAATGTCGGTAGAAATAGAATTATACAGTGAGATACATATATATATATATATTTAATTAGATTCTTTCTTTTTTCGCCTTTTATTAGACAGATGCAGTAAAATGCTAACCAACCAATGGGCAGAAGTTGAGCCCTTAAGACACATCCTTCCTCATTTGCATAATGAGGCAGAAATGCATACAGAAATGTAAAAACGACAGTCAGAAATAAGTAGCATGGAAGAAATAAATAGGGTAAAAGAATACAAAGAAAGAATATTACAGACAAAAATATCAATTGTATGTAAATAAATACTTAAAAAAATAAGTAAAAAATTAATAAAGTTGAAGATAATAATGGACAACAAATAAATAAGGTAATTATTAAAAAGATGAAAAAATAAAGAAGCTAATTAAAAGAGATATATACATTTATGTCTCACTGTATGATTTAATTTCTACCAACATTTATTTTATTTATTGTATTTTTGAGGGGCAATTATTGCATTTTAATTTATTTTTGGAGCATTTATTTATTTCTGAATTTATTTTTAGTTATGGCAGGATTGGTCCTCCATACAGAACAAGCATGTTTATATTAGAAAACCTCATGTTTTTAACATTTTTGTCCAAAGTTATTCAGAGCAACTGCTGAGGGCCTAAAGAGCCATACGGGCTCAGGAGACACAAGGTACAGACCCCTGGTTTAAAAAAAACATTATTTCTAAAGATGGCAGAAGCTTTCAAGATTATTATTTAAAAACAAAAACACAGTCATAATAAAATGATGGACTTCAGTGTTTTGGAAATGGCCTGTAATCCTTCCTGGACTGATGGACAGCTGGATCTGCCGCTATGATTGTCGCTGACGTCTTCCCTTCTTTTAGTTCCTCTATGCTCCACATCAAACTGGTAAAAGCTAAGCTTCTTACTTTTTGCAAAGCAACATCTGGCTGCTGTTAAAATGCATTTACCTTGTGGCTCCAGTGTAAATGAAGCTTCTGGCCTTCGGAGAGTAAACAAACAGCAAGGAGCTGCAGAGAGGAAAAAAAAACAGCTTGTTAAACTTAAAAGCTATGATTTATTCAAACATGATCTGGATAAAACGATCTTCCTGCTCAGACCAGTTAGAGACCAGTAGCTGCCAGAGTAGCTTTCCTCCAAAACAGATTCTTAAAGGGTAGCATCATGTTCCCAGACTTCAGCAAATCGCTTCAGCCTCCAAGGAGCCTCGTAATTCCCGGGAGGTTAAGAATCCACAGATGTAGGAAACAGGGGGAGAAGCTCTGCGGTGAGTTTCTAAATGTCTAAAGTCTGTTTTTGCTGCTGTGGAGCTGTTAGTGGAGTCAGTGTCTGGTATCAATCATCCTGATCCAGTCTGAGCTTTAGTAGGGTGATGACTTTTTGACTTTTTTTTTCTCCAAAATGATTTCCTGTAGCATGAATTAATGAACTTTTGCCTATAATGACTCAAATGATGTTTATTCCATTGAAAAGGGTCACGCAAAAACCACTTTGAAAAAAATCACAGTTACTCTCAATGGGACTAAATTGGTTAAACCTGTGGAAGAATTAGTGGGAAAAAAGTATTCAACTATTCACCCTAGTTAAATAAACGGAGATCGATGGATTTAATTCAGTCTGCACTTTATTTTCTTATCTTTGCAAAGAGAGAACAGTTTATCATAGAGCTTTTACGGCACAGTAATCAGCCCTGTTCTGATTTGACAGAGTTTGTCTCCCTTATTTATGTTGATGGAAAAACTGTGAAGGTTGTGTCTGAGTCAAAACAAATTACACTCACTTTACCAAACCTTGAGAAACAATTTGGCTTGTCGTGGGAAGAAGTATGTTTTGTCTAAAACCATCCCTCACGCAGACATTTTCTCAGCTTTGCAGCTGAAACAAACTGAGTAAAAACCTTTTTCACTAGTATATAAGACAAGAAATATTAAATTTTCAGAACACAACTAAAAATACCTGAAACACTTTTAATTTGTTCTTGTGGGCAGCTGTGATAGGATTATTTAAAATCATAATGAGTATAAAATTAGAACAATTTTATTTGGTGGTTGGTGCCTCTAACGTTGCTCAACTGCAGAGAGCGCAAAAACGCCGCAGCACGTCTTTTATCTATGGAGGATAAAAAGTGCCAAAATTAAATAAATAAATACAGCATTAAATAAATAATTAAATGTGTCAATAATTAATTAAATGTGGAATTAAATAAATAAATGTGACATTCATTCATTAAAACCACGTCACTAATATAAAGTTCCACAATTAAATAAATAAATACAGCGATTAAATAAATAATTAAATGCGTCAATAATTAATTAAATGTGGAATTAAATAAATAAATGTGACATTCATTCATTAAAACCAC